CCGTAGCCACTTTGGCTCAAGATGCTTTGTTCCACAGTGGAACGCGTGGATACCGCTAGTCCGCGGCCAGTGCCAGGGTGTTTCCGCCCGACAGTTTCCTTTTCTCGTCCTGCCAGTCTCGCGCCATGGTGCGGAAGCAGCCCTTCACGTGGTGCAGAGGCTGCGGCAACTGGGCCTACAACTTTCGTCTCATCGCCAACGATGGGAAGTGCGCGAAGTGCAACAGTGCCATCGACTTGTTCCAGCCTGCTGGCGCCAACGGCGGCAAGGGTGGCAAAGGCAAGGCCCTGCCCCAGCCCCCTGGTCCGATCCCGCCCTGGCGCCACCCGTCGGCCCCCGCGGACCCTGCAGCTATGCTCCAGATGCTCGCTGCGGTCCCAGCGCTGGCAGGTTTGGCCGCCTTGCAGGGGCTGGAGCACAAGTACTCGGCCAGTCTCGTCAAGCAGCGCACGCCCCAGCAGGAGGCCAACTTCGCCGCCCAGAACCTCCAGAAGAAGGAGGCCGCCCTCCGTCGCGCGGCCGATGCGCAGGTCGCTGCCGAGGCAGCTCTGGCCAAGGCCAAGGACGAGGTCCTGGTGGCCACTGAGGAGGCCCTTCAGGCTCGCGCTGCCAACGACAAGGCGATCGAGGTTCTCTCCATGTCGGTTGGCAAGCCGATGTGTCCGCCTGAAGGGCACGCGGTCGACGGCAAGAAGATCCTGCTCGCGACCAACGAGGCCGATTTCACCGGCAACCTCGACGAGTACGATGAGACCCAGCAGAAGACGCTCTGCGACCTCAAAGCCCAGATGGATGCGCACGTGCAGCAGGTCGCCGCGTTGCAGGAGACGCTCGCGGCCACGCTCAAGTCCGTCCAGGAGATCAATGCTGCACCAGCCAAGCGGCTCCGCGGGGCTGACGGCACTCCCCACCAAGGCCCAGGCGCCGAGGCGGCCGCCAAGGACGAGCAGCCTACCCCTGCCGCCGCCCCAGCCCCTCCCCCAGCCGTCGATGCAGCCCAGGCTCGGGAGGCAGCAAAGGCCGAGGCTACCCAAGCCATCGCCAGGGCCAAGGAGCGCGCTGAGGCCAAGGCTAGCGGCGCTGTTGGCTGGCCTACTGTTGCTGATGCCAATGGCGGCGGCCCAGGCGGCCAGGCCAAAGGAGGAGGGCGCTCGTCCTCCTCCTAACGACGGCCGCTTCTTCTTCTCCAACATCTCGGAGTGGGGCCCGCGCTCCGAGCGGTCCATGAGGGCCCGCGCCGAGCAGTGCGACGTGCTCGGCTTTGCGGAGACCCACATGAGGGGGGAGAAGCTCGAGAAGATGAAGATCGACATGTCCAAGGATGGGTGGAAAGCGACCGCCGCCCCCTCTACGCCTACAGGCCGCTCTCAGCCGGGCACCACTGGAGGCGAAGCCATCCTCTGCAAGAAGACGCTCGCAACCACCTCCTTCGAGGGCTGGAGGAAGGCCGGGCTCGAGCGGTCGGCGAAGGACCCATTCGAAGGTTTCTGCCCGTCTACGTGGCATACGAAGTCGGGTACTTTAATTGTTGTTGCAGCCTGCCTTCAGCCCAAGTTCGGTTTTCGCAGCCCGAACGAGCGTATGCTGATCAGATTGGCAGCGTTCTTGAGGCTTCTGGCAGATCCATGGGTTGTCCTGGGCGATTGGAACAACCAGCCGAGCGAGTGGGACAAGACGAAGTGGCTTCGCAAGCTGGGTGGCTCCCTCGTGCTGCCGAAGAATGTCGCCACCACCTGCAACCTCGGCCAGGGCGCCCTCATTGATTACGCAATCGCCCGTTCGGATCTCGCGGCCTCCTTGAAGTTAGAGGCGGTGGTGGAGGTCCCTTGGAAGACGCACGTTGGCCTGGTCCTCCCGATCTGCGACGGCAAGTGCACTTGGTGGAACCGCGTCATTCAGGTGCCGCGCGAGCTCCCCACGGTCGCTAGGCCAAAGAAGCAGGCGGACCCGAACAGCAAGCGGCAGAGGGCCCTGACATCCCACCGCAAACGTAAGGAGGCCCTGGACCAGCAGCTCCAGGAGGCCTACGACGAGATCCACCGCGTCGAAGAGGACGCCATGCCCTCCCCAACGGCAAGTTTCTGCATCCCCCTCGACCTTTGGCTTCGGGTAAGAGGAGTCAATTCAGAGTCGGCCACCGGAGCCGAACACCAAGTGCCAAGTCAGTCCGCCCGTGGAGCTCAGCAGCACCAGGCGGAGCATCACCCTCATCCTAACCTTTTGCCAGGATATCGTTCGGAACGTCAGAGTTTACCTGGGCCCGCTCAAGGCGCTCAGCAGCACCAGGTGGATCCATTTCCTCATCCAAACCTTTTGCCAGGATTTCGTTCGAAATGTCAGAGATTAAGTACCCTCGACGCCGTGGGCCACGATCCCATGGGCGACTTAGAGGGCTGCTCGTTGCAAGCGCACGAGGACACCATTGAGTGGAGTGGTAGGGCAGCCCCACCTGGGGACCCGACCGCCCCGCTCCACCTAGGACCAAGCCAGCCGCCCTGTCCTGCTTCGGCGGCCTCATCGTCGGCGGCGCCCTCGGCTACGGCACCCGCGACGAGAGGCCTGGCAACTGCAGTCCCCCTGAGCCCGCGGGTGGTCATGACCTTAAATCAGGGGAGCGACTCAGGGGCCAGGTCGGCCCAGGACCGTCAGAGCGCGCAGCTGCAAATCCTGAGCTTGTCCCAGGTTCCGTCGCAGGGAGGGTGACCGCGAGCCAGGGCAATGTTGGCACAGGAGTCGACATCACAGCGCGTGCTCGCGGCGCCTTACCCGTTTTGCCAGATTCGCCTGCCTTGATCACCAGTGACGGGCTGATGTCGCACTACCTCTTGGACAGGGACCCCGTCTCCAAGCTTGCGACCGCGCAGGCATACCACTCCTGGATCGAGGCAGTTGAGAACACCACGATCCAGCACCACGAGCTCCCAGAGGAAGTTGCCAAGAAACACAGAGGCCGAGGGCAGGGATTCACCATCGGGTGGAATCGCACCAGTGCCACGCCCGCTCGTGCTCATATGCGCCATCAGCTGCTAGAATGGTGGCATCTGGCCAGTACTTTGCTCGTCCGCTACCAGTCGATCCGCCGACGCCAGTCCGTCGTGGAGGCAGCCGCTTCGAGCAGCAAGATGGCCGAACTGGTGCAGGTCGCCTTGGACGACGAGCTCCAGAAGCCGGTTCTCCAGGACGACGACGGCGCCTTCACGTCGTGGATTGCTGCGGTATCTGACCTCAGCCAGCTGAGCGATGAGGACATCCCAGGCATCATCGAGTCCTCCGAGCGCTTCCTCAGCAGAGCCACGGGAAGGGCTTTATCAGACGGACGACGGGCTTTCAGCAAGTGGGCGCTCACGATGTGGCGCGAGTCCCCAGGAGTTCTGCATCGGCATGTCAAACCGCCCAGCCCTGTTCGCGACGAGCACTGCGACGAGGCTGGGAACACGTATGCCACCCCCAGCCAAATCATGGATCGTCGAGCCCAGGCTTGGCAAGAAGTATGGACCGACAGCAACATCAACCAGCAGGCCATCTTGGAGGGCCTCAGCTACGTCACGTCCAAGGCCCATGAGGAGTGCGTAGGCCCCATCACACTCGAGCAGCTTGATGGCGTCGTTGGCCGCCTCAACGCCAAGAAGGCCAAGGGGATAGACTCCATGGGCCCCATCGAGATCCAGAGGCTGCCCGAGCCAGTCCGCCGCGAGTAGGTGGCGATCTACGAGATGATTGAGGACCGCGTCACGTGGCAGGCCCAGGTTTTCGCTGTCATGGGGGCCGTCGCCCCTGAGCCGAAGGGTGGCGACAGGATCCTTGGACAACTCCCCTTCCTCATGAAGCTATGGTCGAAGATCAGGTGCCCTCTGCCAGAGCGATGGAGCGAGGACCTTGCCGAGTTCTGGGACACGGCTGTCCGAGGGTCCTCCTCGCTGCAGGCCGCTTTGGTGCGGAGCTGTATGGACGAGTGCTGTCACATCCTCTCCATCAGCAGTGGCACCGTCCGTCTCGACCTGGAGAAGTTCTACGACAGCAGTTCGATCCCGTTGTTACTCAATGCAGGACTGCAGCAAGGTTTCCCAGCCATCATCCTGGCGCTCGAGCTTCAGATGTTCCTGGCGCCGCGCTGCCTGAAAGAACGCAGATGGGTTTCCAGAGAAATTTTACCTTCCAGGTCCCTGGTGGCGGGATCGCCTCACGGAGGCAAGCTCGCGAAGGCCATGTTGGGGCCGCTGCTGCACCAAGCCCACCTTCGCTATCAGCACAGCATCATGATCAGGACCTTCGTGGACGACACCGTCATCAGAGTCGAGGGCACAGCCAGGTTTGTTACTGAGACTCTAATCGACGCTGGCACGTTTGTCGGCCACAAGATGCAGCACGAGGCCAACCTCACCATTTCGGACAAGACAGTAGTGATCGCCACGGACAACGCCATGGTCAAGAAGATCGCCAAGGGTCTGAACAAGGTCGGCATCCCAGCTCGCATGGCCACCAAGGCCGTCCACTTGGGCTGTGACGCTGTCGCTGGGAGGATACGGTCTCGCTGCAAGGCTCGCGACCGCATGAAGAAGGCGGCCAAGCGCTCCATGGCCATCGGCAAGGCACGTCGCATCGCCAATCTCCGCCGTGCTGTTCAAGGACTATGGAGCACAGGCAGCTCACCCCAGGCGCTGTATGGGCATCAGCAGATGGGAGTCCCTGAGTACGAGATTACGAAACTTCGACGGCAAGCGGGACGGTCGGTCGCGGGTCAGGGCCCAGGTCGCTGCTTGACCACCACGCTTGCTATGGCTATGGGCGACGGCGACCCAGCCAAGGCCGTTCGACACCAGCATTTTACTGCATGGCTGACGATGTGGAGGCAGAATCCCAAACTCCACCCCCGCATCCAGAAGGCCTGGGACAGCGTCGCCCCGAGGATCAGGCAGGCTGGTCAGCGCAAGAGGCGCTTGGCCAAGGGGCCCCTCAGTGCGACCATCGCCACGCTGCTGGACATTGGCTGGGACCCCGTCTCTGCCACCCAGTGGGGCACTGATGGTGGACACTCGCGGCTGATCCCGACGGCCAACGACGACAAGTTCCAGGAGATGACCAGCGACTTCACCCTCCTGCTCAGCGACGTTTCCGACTCAGGCGTCGCAGCATGGAGCTGCTGAAGATCTGCGTGCGGGTGCCGATCTCCTGCACGTTTCCCGCGAGATTGAGAAGTGCAGCAAGGCCGACGAGTTCGGGCTGGTTGGCCTGACCGTCGCCGTCATCTCGGGAGGTCAATGGCCGCGAGCCCGACTCCGAGAAGCAGGCTACATCACGGCCGCAGAGTGCCCGCGATGCGGGGAGGCGGCTGAGACATTATTTCATCGGATATGGAGCTGCCCTAAGAACGTGGGCCACAAGGACTGCGATGACAGCGAGCACCTCATCGAGCAGGCCAGGACCAACTGGGAGGCGAGCCCCTCCCTCTGGCTCAGAGGTGTACCGAGCCGCCCTGACACCTGCCCTGTCTTTGACGAGGAAAAAGTTCCCGTTGCTTACGAGTTTGGTAGTTTCGCCTCCGCACCCCGCGGCGCCGAAGGTTTCGTCACCGTCTTTGGGGACGGGTCTGGTGGTGAGTTCTCGGATGACCCTCGGCGTCGTGGGGTAGGAGCTGGGATTGTCGCGCTCGATGGCAGCCCGTTCGACTGGGAGCCGTGCGCGGGGTTTTCGATCACGGTCCCTGGGAAAGTCCAGACTGTACCCCGAGCCGAGCTCACAGCGTTCGCCGAGGCCCTCGAGCGCACTGTAGGTAATTTAAGATATATCACCGACCACCTCCCCATCCTCAGAGTCTGGTCCCAAGGCGAGAGAGTGCGCCAGCTTCGTAATGGTGACCTTTGGACCAGGATCTTTAGGGCTGCCAGGGGGAGGGGCGCGGAGGTAATTGTGGAGTGGGTCCCGTCCCATGTTTCGGTTGACGCGTTGGATTGT